AATTTTTGAAAACAAAACAAAACAGAACAAAACAAAAAGTAAAAGTCTTTCATTTCTGTGGGTTTTTTTCTCCTTATGCCATGAGTCAGCTCCATATTAAGAAAATCACACACACTATGAAGGTTTTATGGGATATCAGCTCATCCCACAGGCAAAAAGTGAGTGGTAAATACTTGGGTTTTTGTGTTTTTTTTCCACATTTCTGTTTTGAAGGACAATAGTATGTATTAGATTGTCTGCTATATTTTATATTTTTTAAGATTTATTTATTTATTTTAAAGAGAGAGAGCACATGAGTGAACAAGTGGGGGAAGATGGAGGGAGAAGGAGAGAGAGAATCCTCAAGCAGACTCTCTGCTGAGCATGGAGCCCCATATGGGGCTTGATCCCAGGATCCTGAGATCACAACCTGAGCCAAAATCAAGAGTCAGATGCTCAACTGACTGAGCCACCCAGGCTCTGCTATATTCTAAAGACAGTAATGCCTAGGTCTAAACGATAATATGTTTGGATTTTTGCCTGCTATTTTACAGCCGAGTAACTCTATAATTTTTATTCATTCTTTATATCCTTCCTCATTCCAGAATCATATTTAAAGCGGTTCCCTCAAAACTGACACCTGTCCTGAACAACAGGATCTTTATGTATGCTAATAAATGAGCAGGTATTGCAATAGAGGCTCAAACAGAACTCTGATTCATGAGTTTGCATATTGGTTTTCCTATTGGCAGTTATCTTATTATATTTGGTCTTGGAATTCACATAGTTGTGTTATACAGACAGCTAGTTTTAATGAGTCTAAGGTCAAGTGTATATATTTGAACACTCTATGAGTCAGCTAACCTATATAGGTAAAAAATTAATGGTCATATTAATATATTGTACTTGAATATCATCTCATTACATAAGTCAAGTAGAAGGTGACTGCTCCTAAGGCCCTACTGCCATTACCAGACAAACCAAAATAAACAGATTACAGCCCACTCTGTCTTGAATTCCTATAACACCTTCATGTTTCCCTCAAAGTAAAATGCAAACACCTAACTGTAACCTGCAGGGTGCACCATTATAAACTTTCCTTGTTCCTCCATTCTTATCTCACAGAACCTTCTCTCCCCTCACTGTGCTTCATGCTCACCATGGCCTTCCCTGGTCATCTTTTTAGGTGGAACCCTCCTCCACTAAGCCTTTTTCCCAGCCCCCCTTATCACTTCATAACATCTACTGCATCTGTAACTATGTAAACCTCTTTTTCTTTTGCATACTTGCCCTTTGTCCATCTCCCTCCACTGTAACTTAAATTTCATGGGGGAAAGGACAGTGTATGTGTTGTTGATCATTTTATCCCTGATTAGTACACAGTCTGGCCTAGAGAAAGTACCAAGTACTAATTAAAAGGTATGGGTGTTGGGGTACCTGGGTGGCTCAATTGGTTGGGCATCTGGCTCTTGATTTCAGCTCAGGTCATGGTCTCAGGGTCATGGCATTGAGCCCTGTGTGGGGCTCTGCACTCAGCATGGAGTCTGCTTGTCCCTCTCCCTCTGCTCCTCCCCCCACCCCCTCTCAAATGAATGGATAAAATCTTAAAAAAAAAAAATAAAGGTTTAAAATGTATGGGTGTTTTTATGGCCATGAACAGATATTTATTGGGTTTTAACTTTGTAAGACTCTGCAATATAAAGAAGAAAATATGGTTCTTGCCCTTTAAGTTACAATCTGGGTAGAAAAAGGAGATATGTAGGTGTTAGTAACATAGCCAATATTAGCAAGAACAATAATAGTAGCAGCTAATATTTATCTAACCCTTTTTATACACTAGATGCTATTCTAAGAACTTTACATGTTTTCACTCATTCCACTCTCATCCGTGATATAAATGCAATTATCATCGCACTGTACAGACAAGGAAAGAGAAGCATGGTGCCGGGAGGTAAATGGTCTGAGGCCACGTAGGTAGCATGTAAGACAGCTAACTAACCAGATAAATCATGACAAGCACCAAGGAAGGATTACACTGAAACATATTATAGGAGCTGGGAGTCAAGGAGCATCTCTAGCCTGGGATTATCTATGAAATGAGGGTGGAGAATATGACATTTGAGCTGGGATCTGAATGATGCACAAAGGTAATAAAGTAGAGAGAAGCTATTCTCATTGAGAAGAGCATCCATGAAAGGGTGGAAGTAGGACATCAGACAACCTATTTTCGGTATGATGAATAGATCCACTTGGCTTCATGATGGACCCATCCATCCACTCATTAATTAGTTGCTAAATTAGAGCCCTGAAGGCCAGACTAAGAAGTTTGGGTCAAATCAATATAAAGCAAAAATTTTCAACTATTAAATACAATTGTTGGGGTGTAAATAGTTTTTTAGTGTGGTGGTGGTTACAAATTTATCATTCTCTTTCTTCCTCTAATTCCTTCTCAGAACATCCTCTCTGATTATACCTAATTAGACTCTTCTTCTCTTCAGCTACCCCTATTAGCATTTGCAGGTGCTTCTCTGTAATCCCAATTAGATTCTCTAGTTTCTGATGGACCATCCTTTGGCAAGATGCGATTTCCCATCTTCATAACTCTAGCCTTCAAATAAACATGTCTTTAATTATTTGTGTAACTAAAGCTAATACTAAGTTCTCTAGAATAGCACTGTCCCATAGAGATCAATACGAGCCGCAAATGAGCCACGTATGTAATTTTAAATTTTCTAATAGCCACATTAAGGAATGAAAAAGGAAGAGGTGAAAATTGTTTTAATAATATATTTTATTGGGGTGCCTGGGAGGCTCAGTTGGTTAAGCATCTGCCTTCAGCTCAGGTCATGATCCCAGGGTGCTGGGATTGAGCCCCACTATGGGCTCTCTGCTCGGCGTGGAGTCTGCTTGTCCCTCTCCCTCTGATCCTCCCCTCCCCTGCTCATGTGCATGTGCTCTCTCTCTCTCAAATAAATAAATAATATATTTTTTTAAAAATTACTAAAAAATAATATATTTATTTAACAACTATATCCAAAATATAATAATTTCATCATGAAGTCTATATAAAAATTATTGATGATATATTTACATTCTTTTTTTTTTTTGCCCTGAGTCTGTAAAAGTCAGTTGCATATTTTCCACTTACAGAATGTGTCATTCAGACTTGCCACATTGCAAGGACTCACTGGCCACACGTGGCTGGTGGCTAATGTATTGGACAATATCTAGAATTAGCTTGAGAGGAAATATGTTGTAGTGATGGTTTATCACTTTTAGTCTTGAAGCTTGATTCTTTAAGAGCTCTTGCCTGCAGGATTTGATACAAGCAGCAGCGATATGACCTGAGCCTTTCTTGACACTTGGGCAGGTTTTTCTTTTTTTTTCCTTTCTGGGTATACGTGAAGCTGCAAGGAGGTTCAGATTTTTAGCAGTAAGATCTGGTATATCCACTGTTAACAAGGAGATGCTCTGAAGTGGCTCTCACATCTTCACATGTTGATATGAATCTCACAGATTCAACCCTTCTTCAAGCTTTGTCCTTCCTCACCACATATGAGGTGCTTGCTCTCCCTGCAATGGAAAAACTGTGGGCAGCCCATATGAGAATACTTATTTTAAAAATCCCACTCTAAATGCAAGTTGACTTAGATACAGAAGAGAAATGCACACAGATGGGGCTTTGGTTAACAAATTCAATATATTTTAGTGGTGGTTCTGAAAGAGCAGTCCCTGGAGCAGCAGGATCAGCATCACCTGGGATGTTCTTAGAAATGCCATCTCTCAGGCCTCACCCGAGACCTACTCCATCAGGTGCTCTGGGAGAGGGACCCAGCAGCCTGTGTGTTAAAAATCCCTCCGGGGGATCCCAGGGCATGCTATTACTTAAGAACCACTGTAGTAAGGAAATAATAAGTTGAAAGCAAAGTATGGGGAAGCAGTGAATGTTTGATGTTTGAAAAGAGAGAAAAAAAAAAACACATTATTTTCACTCTACCAATAAGATTCACCGCAGGATCTATTGACTTGACCAGCCTTCATAGCCCAATTAAAATTCACTTTCCCAAGCAACCATATGAATGAATTTCACCAATGTAATATGGAGCAAAGGAAACCAGAGAAGAGCATGTATTGTATACCATTCCATTTTATATAAAGTCTGAAAACAGGGACACCTGATGCATGCTGTCAAAGTCAGAGTGGTAATTTTTGGAGGGGAGGGGAGTGGCTGAAAGGGGAGATGAGCAGAGCTGCCAGGATACTGGATATGTTGTGTTTTTTGAGCTGGTGCTGGTTATACAAGGATGTTCAATTTGTGATAATGCATCAAGCTATATACTTCATGAATTCTGCACTTTTCTTTATGTATATTTATCTTCAATGAAAAGTTGAGAATTCCAGGGTTTTTTCCCTCAAAAATCATGAACACATCTTTTCGGGAAGTGTTCAGTAATGGAAATGGCATACACTGTAATTCAGCAACCCCCCAACCACCCCCCCCCGCCCCGTTGCAACCTCCTCAACAACAAATGGAGATTTCTGCTTAAAGTGACCTGTTTAGTACTTGTCTGAGCCAGAGGACAAACATAAGCTGCCTGGAGGCTCTCCTGCATCCTCTATTTCATTAAGGTCCTTCCCCCACTCTTGGTTTCTGCTCAGTGTCATCCTTTTTTTATTCTCAGTTGGTATCAGACCCATTTCATTATTTTTTAGAGATTTATTTATTTGAGAAAGATAGAGTAGGGGGAGGAGCAGAGGGAAAGAATCTCAAGCAGAATCCCTGCTGAGCGCAGAGCTCCACACACGGCTCAATCTCATGACCCTGAGATCATGACCTGAGCCAAAAACAAGAGTCAGACGCTTAACCGAATGAGCCCCACAGTGGCCCCAGACCCATCTGATTATTAAGTCATTACAGCAAACTGGCCTCAAGGAGGATCTTTCCAAGAACTGCATTTTTAAAAAGTTCCCAAAGAAAGAAGTTTCAAGTCCCCAAAGAATGACATGCTTCTGTGGGAACGATGCGTGACAGAGTCGTTATTTTGGAACAGGTGTCCCCTTACATCTCACAACACAGACAGCCATCAGGCCATCAGCTGCAGCTACTCACTCGGTCACCCCACTCGGATGTGTTTTCCTTACCAGTGATGACGGGAACAGTAGAGTAGTGGGGGCATAGCAGAGGGGCAGGGGATGCGATGCTGGCCTGGATAGGATGCAGTGTCCAGACAGACGTACTACCAACCTAAAGTTAGCACTGATTCTGTTTGCTGCGGGGCTTTATCAGGTAAGGCCACAAAACAGGATGTGAGCACAAATGTGTGTTGGAGGATTATTCAGTCCTTACACTGTAGATCTTTTTGGTCTATAACAAGGAAGCTACTTCTCATTTTTTCCCACCAATATGAGAACATCAGAGATGGTTTGTTATTAAACTGTTCTCACTATCGTTTTTAGAAACTTATCACTCTAGTTCTGTACTATAAGCAGAACGGATAATCTGCCAGTACGCTCTGGGACTGCTGCAGAGACTTTTAAAATACCAACGTATTTCCATGGCGTTTGGCAAATGGTGACTTAACTCCCCTCTTTGCAAGTAAATTTCACTGCCATCCTGTCATCTGGGACCCACCAGCAGGCTCCAGGACCGGGATATGTCCATTCTGATTAGCTGAGTCCAATGCCAGTTATTGTTCTAGATATCACCCCAGATTCCCCTATCATGACTTTCTCCATGCTGTCCAAATAGTGACTCCTTGATACAGTTGAAGGATCAATGAAAGTGAACTCCAGAGAACTGAGATGGGGAAAGGGAACCTTACATGTAGGGAAGATTCCATTTCCACATCCCTGTTCAGACTTTGTTCTGAGCTGCAGCAGGGATATCAACTTGAATAGCTCACATTCAAAAGTTAGGGGCCCCTGGTTGGCTCAGTCAGTGGAGTGTGCAACTCTTGATCTGCGGGTTGTAGGTTCGAGTTCCACGTTGGGTGAAGCAACAACTTAAAAATAAAATCTTAAAAAAAAAAAAAGTTAAATAAGTCATTCAAATACACATGTGCAGAAATGCACATGTCAGTGTTATGGAGGGAATGCTTGTGTCTTCACCAAACACAAATGTCCTATGGGGAACCCCAGCCCCCAGTGTGATGGTATTTGGAGATGGGGTCTTTGGGAGGTAATTAAGTTTAGAGTAGGTCCCCAGGGTGGAGCCCTCATGATGGAATTAGTGGACTTATTAAGAGGGAGAAAGAGAGATCTCAATCTCTGAGTTTCCATTTGCACACACACTGATCCCTGTGGGGGGGACACAGCAAGAAGGCAGCCTGCTGCAAAGCAGAAAGAGCAACCCCATCTGAGACGAAATCAGCCAGTAGCTTGGTCTTGGATTTCTAGCCTCCAGAGCTAGGAACAAACAAATTTCTGTTTTTTAGGCCACTCAGTCTATGGTGTTTTGTTATGGCCACCCAAGCAGATTAATATAGTCGGTCATTACATTAGAAAAGTCTATTAAAATGATTTCTAGAACTCATAGTGAAATCTAGTGTAAAATAGTAGTGGATTAAAGTAAATTATTTTATTATTATTTCTTCCTGGAAATAAAAAAGAACACTTTTGAGTTAATCCTTAGTATACTTCCCAAGATCCTCATAAAATCACATTTTGAGATATTTTAACACATTTTTCTCAGTTTATGAGGCAAAACATTGCCTTCATCATACAAATGCCTCTATACACCCCATTTCCTGTAATACCAGATGTCACCTGATTTTTCCCCCACCAGGGTCATACCGGAAAATGAAATTTACTGAACTTGTTTTATTCTGCATGAACAGGCTGTTTGCCTCTTTAACTTTCTCTAAGTTTCTTGGTTCAGTATTTTTCAATCTGTGTACAAGGTTCATGAGGGTGCTGTACATTTGAAATGCCTAAAAAGGTGAGTGTTTTAAAAAAAATGGATCTAAAAGAATGTCATACTTCTAAACGTAGTGTTTGTAAAAGGCACTTTAGAAACATTTGAAGTATCTGCACACATTAAAATTAGACAATGAACTTGCAAGAACTACAAAGGAAGTAAAGCCCAGCTCTCACAACCTCTGCAGAAGCGACACTGAGTTTACTGCCGTTGGGAGGAAAGTCAGCGAGGAAGGAAACCACTTCAGCAGCCCCAAGAACTGGGTCCTCTGGGGGCAACAGCAGCTCAAGCAGTTCCTCCAGAGACTCAACAACTCAAACAGCTGCCCACTCAAGGAGCATCCAAAACTTACTACCTTCTTTCCCTCTTTCTACTCTTCTAAAGCCACCAGGTGACTCATTATGCTCCTTTGTTCTACCCCATCGGGAGCTTGTGTTTCCTCCCTTCTCTTCCAGTGAATCTCTGCCTTTAAACCACTCTAGGCTTTGAAATTTGTCTATTTGACCATCCAATGCTCTAAGACTAAAGGATTCCTAAGGAACTAATGGATTCCTCTCAGCATAATCTAATACTAATTCTCTTATCTTAGGTGGAGTTGTCCTATCAGGCCACCCTAAGGTCTGTTGGCCAACCCACAGATGACTGCCCAGAGCCAATCCCTCATCAGTCATCTGTGGCCCAGCTTTTAGGATTATATGGTGCCAAACATAGCAACCTTTTCTCCCAACTTTACCTAATCAGGTTGCGGGCACTTTCCCCGACATTCCTTAATTAAAGGCAGCATGGCACAAGAAGGGTGTAAATCAAAATGAGGTAAACATTCACATTTTTGCTGCTGAGTAGTAGAAGACAGGTTAGTGACTAGCTTGGCTGTCTCTGTTTGGAGTCTCCAAAAGCAAAATTCTCAGACAAGGGGAACTGGGGCTCTATTTCTCTAAGAAGTGTAGAGCACATTCAGAATTGTCTCCCAAAGAGGTGAGGAAACAGACTGTATCTCCTAAATCCTTTCAGGAGTTTCTAGTTGGGCATTAGCTGCTGGATACTTCTGGTTCATCCAAGGAAAAATGCCCTCAGTCAGAGTCTCAGAAAGGAACCCATCTCCTGGAACTATCTGCTGTGATCTCGGGAGTAGCCCAGTGGGATATTGGTGGGGCATTGTCTACTACAAGGCTCTCTATAGAGAGATCTAAACTCTCTAGGCCTCAGAGGTGGGAGCAGGCTGGGAAGAGGTAAGAGAAAGAAGAGTGGAGTGAATCCAGCATTGGGACACCCAGTATCACAACAACATAGGATTATTTAGAATGGCAGGAAATTGGATTAATTTGAACATCCAATAATAGATGCAATGGTAAAATAGCTTATGGCAGATCCACAAAGTGAACCACTCGGCAGCCATTCATATTATAGAACTATACTCAATAGCACAGTGGAACATTGAAGAAAAAAATAACTGAAAAAAGTAAGCACATCCATTTTCATTTGGATGGGTTTGTGGATCCTTCTAGATATGAGGCGCAAATAGGTGCTAAGAAGAAATCATCCAGGTCTTTGAAGTTCACATAAAATGGGTAACTCCCACAAAAGGTCCAAATGCTTATCTTAGTCTCTAAACATGTCCCTTTACATCACTTGGGAAATAAGACTGGAAAAAAGACTGCTCCAACAGGGTGAGTTTTGACTCAGTCCATAGGAATATAGGAAATCCCTCTGGTTCTCAGCAGTGTTGGGTCCCTGGCATCCCAGCCACACTCTCCAAGCATCTGGCTAAAATGAACGCATGCCCAGAGGTTGAAGCATTTATGAATCTGGAGATAGACTATGTCTACTGCCTCAACTTCTCCACAAAATAAAGTAACTGAGAAGTAGTGGCCAGGCTGTGATTCTGCCCAGAGTTAGGGTCCAGAAAGCCCTCCTACAGGGAATGCCCTGAATGCCCCTCAAAGACTTTTCATTATCAAATTGAATTAAAAAGCGTAAACAAAACACTCCCTGATTTATAGAAAAACATTTTAATAGAATTCTAAGTCAGTTTCTACCTAGAACCATAGCTACTTTTTATGCCTGTGGTTTGGTCAGATTTAAAAAAAAAAAAAAAGGATGTCAAGAAATCCTGCTGTGCAAGGTTTAGCAAGAGAGAGGGAGGCAAGATCAGAAAGGAATTGGAAGGATGGAGGTCAAGGATAGCAGGTCACAGACAACTGGAAACAAGAGCAGATTTGCCTTTGTTTACATTGCCAAGGGAGAAAAATTAACTTGATGGAAAAGGGTAATTAAACATTTCTTTTTCCATCATGGTCCAGCCTGGCTTCATATCCAGCTGTTCTATTAGACATTGTGATGATTCCTCGTCAGGTCACAGAGTTAACGATGGCCAGTGTGGAACCAACATCACACCACACTACTTCCCCCACAATTAACCTTTATTTTATGAATAGACAGTAAAAATCTCAGAGTGAGAAGAGTCCAGCTCAGGTAAGCAGGTAATGAGGGAAGCCTGAACGTTTACAGAGAGGTGTTGTCAGAACAAAGAGATAATTTGAACAAATCAACAGATTAGCCTTGAAAGTTACTTAAGATTATCTGGCTCAACACCTTCAATTCCTAGGTGTAGAACTGAGATCATGTAAGGTGAATGGGGTTTCCTAGAGTTATGAAGCTTGTCGTTGTAAATCTAGAATCACAACCCCAAGCCAGTGTCCATCCATCATGACTGATCCTTTTATTTGCTTGTATTTTCAATAACAACCCACAGAAAAATAATACCTGCACTATGGGAATTAGCTGGTTTATACAAGTTACTGTTTGGAATCTGACATATATTTTCTAATAGAAACAAAGTTGGTGGTACATGATGGTAGTTTTCCCAGCCCTGCCTCAGAGACTGTTAGTACTCACATTCCATAACTCTGGGAATGATTGGCCCCCTTTTAATGGGGGTTAATGATTGCATAATGAAGACAAATGACCGACCATAGCTCAGTCTGGCCTCCCAATACTCAGGGTGATGTCCTGTCCTACAGATCTGATTACTTTTCAGGTAAATATAGACCAGCCTTGTATGTCCAGCTGCACTGGGACAGAGCATAGCTGAGATCATTGCCATCTGAATGCTCTGGGAATGTATTTCAGTATACATTTTCTCCTATATAAAGGAATAGTCATTGCAAATCTTCAATGAGACCATAATCGGCTGTGGAGACACTAGCTTATTGTGGATAAACACACTGTTCAGATGGAGGAAAAACTACTTTATTCTAATTGCTTCACATAATAAACCAGCGATTCAAATGAGCAGACCAGGATAAATGTTTTGCTTGGTATAATCAAATCAGTTTACACGCTACAGAGCAAGTACTTCAGGCATAGGTGTTTGTATATAACATTTATTTTGTTCAGACCCCTTGAAACTTTTACACCAAAATGACCTCCTACCGCAACTCTAAATGGTAGTCAGGGATTACCTTTCTTACTAGGTGGATTTTGTACATCTCCTGACTTGAAAATGTTTTCAAAGACAGTTAATCATCCATTCAGTTTTATACTTTATAGTCATTTCAAATTTTCGTGCAAAATGTTGTTTACCAGCTGGATTGTCCTCTTCATTTATTAAACACATCTGTATATGTTTTTGGCTCTTCCTTCAAGTCAAATCTACCTTAAGAATTCAAGAAGTGCCGTCATTGATGAATTCATGGAGTGGGCATCAAATTCTGTAGCTGATTCTCAATTATAATCCTAAAAACCTTTTGTAAAATGGCAGTGTCACTGGCATTAAGATAAAAATTTCTCTAGTTATCTTTAATCTTGTCAGGGTCATGGGTCCCTGTGAAAATATGATGGAAGCTACCTCCTAGAAAAGTGAACATGACAATATATGTATATGTTTTACATATCGATTTATACCTCGAGAGTATATTCAGGGTTTAAGAACTTTTGTTGTAAGGAGACATTTTCGAAAGAGATAGCACCTATTTCGATTTACAGTTTAGATGTTTATTAAAAATGCAATAGTTTCATCACTTACCATCACATCTTCAACCTGTATTAAAATTGCCCTGCTTTTTAGAATTTCTGTTTTGTTTTTTAAAATTTTAATCTCTTTTAACTATTCTTTTAAACCTTTTTCAACTTTCTAAATCAGGAAGTTTTTTTTAATATAGGAAAGTATTTCTTTTTTATTCTTGTTAATCTTAAAAGATAATCTATCTTGAGAACTTTGGCTCAAACATTCTACTTAATATTTGCATTTGAAAAAATTTTCTAATAGAACATTGACCTTTAAGGTTTTGAAAGTCACAATCTACATATAAATTTCATTCCAATTCTCTACTGTTAAAATAACATTGACAGAATCTCAGAATTAGGTGATAACTCCTTTACGTTTTTTGAACATTATCAAATGATAATTTTTAGAATTAAATAAAATATGAATCCAAGGGTGCTGCAAGAATTTAGTATATACAACTCCATTTTTCACAGTAGTTTATAGAACTTACATAGAAATAATAAGCTCTCTTAGTGACCATATGTACTCGATATGTTTTCTTTCATATTATGAATAATGATTTTATATACATATACAGTGCAACTTTCATCACCTCCTAGTCAGAAAAGCTCCACTGTCATTTCAAACCCACAACTAAGTCTAACATAATAGGACCTATGGTTTAAAACATTCAGGACCATATCCAGTCTTGCCAAAATTCATGCAACTAGGGATTCAAAGAGCCCTTTGAAAAGAGAAACTTCAGTGGAAACAATTTCACAGCCACGTGGTCATGCATGGATGCTGTCATGAGCTCATAGCTTTTATCCTGCTTTGTTGCTGTATGTGGAGGTGGGACCATTTCAAATACAAAACAAAAGTAACTTCTGGGTTTGGTGATGGGTCAGGCTGATAGGAAATCCTTGCCATCACATACAGATAAGTACTTGTGTCCACATGAATATACTCAAACATTATATTTCTAGGATATATAGTCTTTTGTAGATTTTATTTCTAAAATAGGACACATTCTTAAATTAATAATGTGTTACAGTTCATTTGGTAGCATGTTTTTTTTCCTACCTACACAAAATAATAGTGAAAATAACAATTGATGGTGTCTTAGATTCAATGAAATATATTATGTATAGATTAGAGCACATAAGATCAGAAGTCACCTTAGCAGTGTTAAAACAACTCTCCAAGGAAATTGAAACTGAAGGGTCAATTAATTTTCTAGAGAGACAGATATTGGTGACAGTCCAGAGATTAATTTTTCAAATACTTTCACCCATCTTATGTGAATCATTAGACCATAAACCCATAAACTCAATGTAAATCACTTCTTGAAAGACATTTCTTATGTAATATTTGATGCCTGAAACATAATGTTTATGTTAATTATAAAGCATAATGAATTATTGTTGAGTGTAAATGAACACATTTTAACTACATGCAAAATCTTGGATAATCTTAAAACATTAATGTTGAGAGAAATGAGTATTGCCCAAGCCTACATTTCAAATGATGCCATTTTCTATAATAAGTAAAATTTTCAAAATTAAAATTTGAGCCTGATTCATATAGTACCTTTTTAAAATCATTGTTCACTTTCAGTGTTAACGTGGGAAAAAGTATTCAAGGATTTTTTTTTTTAAATCCACATGTTAGAGCCAAAATTAAAAAGGCATGTTTTAATGGGAATCGGTTTAAAACAATTTGACTAGAGTGAGAGAACAGTTTGGAAAATGTGTCTATGCTCTGTTTTGCTTCCAAATTTGGACTTTGAAACTTATTGTCAGTCTCAGAAAGAAATAAGAAGCTGTGCAGATAATTAAACATTTGCCTTGGGGGAATTATTTGCAGTTAATTAAAGTCATACACTTCGGGTGTATACTTGCTTCACTGGTTATTAAATTTGAATCATATGTTAACTGCCCAGGTTTCTCACTTGTCCATCAAATGTTGCTTGTGGCATGTTCAAAAAACAAACTTTCTCATAATATTCCAAACTGCATGGTTTAAAACGATCTCCTAGTGTGGGGAGGGAGAGAGGGAAAAGGAATAAGGAAACAGAGAAAGAAAGAATGATTTGAGACTCTGATTCAGTTCTGTTTGGAATTACAACTCAATGGAGGCACGTGAACTCAGTAGAGAACCCATTCGTAATAGGAGTCTCAGTCTGCCATCCCCAGTTTGCTTCATGGCCATATGCATACAAGATTACCTCATGGCTTTTAGATATCTTCAGATTACCACTCTTTTAGCTGCATGAAAAATATCCCGTAGGGGCGCCTGGTGGCTCAGTCGTTATGCTTCTGCCTTCGTCTGCCTTCGGCTCAGGTCATGATCCCAGGGTTCTGGGATCGAGCCCCGCACCAGGGTCCCTGCTCCACAGGAAGCCTGCTTCTCCCTCTCCCACTCCCCCTGCTTGTGTTCCCTCTCTCGCTGTCTCTCTCTGTCAAATAAATAAATAAAATCTTAAAAAAAAAAGAAGAAAAGAAAAATATCCCCTAGATTGTAACCTCTGTGAGGGCAGTCAATTACTATTGACTCGCCAGCCTCAAGAAGTGTCTGGCATAGAGCTGGCCCTTAATAAATGCTTTTGGAATGAATGAAAGGCCCATTTTCTGTCTTCACACTGACCCACCCACATGCTCTTTCCAATGGCTTTCTAAAGAGCCTACAGAGAGGCCTCAAACATCCAACAAGGAATCCTGTGTAGTCTTGTAAGAGTCCATAGTCACTGAAACCTATTTGGCCATGTTATTTCCTGCAAGTATATCATATAACAAAACAAAAACATGAACTTATGCTGATTTCACATCTAAATATGCTATACAAGGGAGAGGATGAAATTGCACAGAACAGAATATTTGATTTCCCCTTTGCTATTGTTCTACTTGTAGTGTTCCTCAGGATGATGAACTTAATTACAACAGGATTTCAAAAAGCTCTACATCTGGCTTTTTCCAGGACTCAAGGCTCCCATATATGAACAATTGCAGTAATGGAAGCATTAAGAACATTAAAATTGATATTCCTTTAATCTCCTCTATTTTGCCTTCCTTTCATATCCTTTTGCACAATTCTCCAAAGACTTTCACTAATGCATAAAGTCTGCTTATATTTTCTTCTTTGTTGCAAAAAGATGACTCAAACAAATTTCTATCCTCTAAGGAGGATAAACTTTGTACAAGACCTTCTGTAGTACTTTAGGAATAACTTATTTGTTGATGAAAATATTTAAGTATTCTGGGACGCCTGGGTGGCTCAGTCGGTTAAGCATCTGCCTTCGGCTCAGGTCATGATCCCAGGGTCCTGGGATCGAGTCCCACATCAGGCTCCTTGCTTGGCAGGGAGCCTGCTTCTCCCTCTACCTGCTCTGCCTGCTGCTCCCCCTGCTTGTGCTCTCTCTCTCTGACAAAAAAAATAAATAAAATCTTTTAAAAAAAAAAAAGAAAATATTTAAGTATTCTAAGGGTATTTTTTAAAAATAATAAATTCCATGCTCCAAAGATAGATATATCATGACAGTGCTGGAAGCCGCCCTGTTTCCCAGTTAAAAATGCTGACTAGACATTTTTCTTATTTGTTGTGGCAGATTCTGCAAAGGACAATATTACAAAAGACAATGAAGTGACAGATCATTCTGTGTGTGACCAAGATCATCCTAATGGTAAGTTGTGAGATCTTTTTTCATTTGTTTTTTCTGCTGAGAAATATTACATCTAAAAAAAACCAGATTTTAGTTTTTCTGGGAAAAAATGGAATCTGGTAATATTTTATTAGCTATGAATATCAAGTGATTGGTAGCTGCCAAGTTTAAAAGGGAAATTTGCTCTCCACAATCCTCATCACTTGCTATTCTTGTACCAGGCTGACTTTATTTATTTTTGTTACCTGCCTAAACCCTACAGGCATTGGGTTTGCAACTACAGAAATGAAGATATGATAACCATGAAAGAAATGTGACACATATAGACAATAGATCTACGTGATTAAATCTACATATCCTGGGAATACCAAGAAGAGAGACTAGAACAAACAGAAATGAAACAATCTTTAGAAAAATAAGAGAAAAATAGTTTTCCTAATGTAAACCAGTTCCTCCACCCAAAACACAGGAGTACACGTATTTATAGACAAAGGCATTGAAAACTCAAATAGGAACAGAAATCTACAAAGCCTCATAGAATTTCTGAAGATCAGTGATAAAGAAAGGCTTATAAAGCATATAGGAAAATAAAAATCAGGTTATAAACAAAATCACCAAAATCAGATTAGCCTTAGCTTGCTTTCTTCTTCCATAATTCTAAATACTAGATGAAATGGAGTAACATTTCCATTGCTCTAAAGGACACAGTTTCTATATTTAGTGAAGTTATTACTCATGCATGAAATCAGGAGTAGTATTTTCTCAGGGATATATAGATTAAGAAAATATGCCACTCAAGTATCCCTCCTGAATAAACTAACAGAAATCCTGTGCAAAAACAATAAATATAGAAAGGAAGGAAAAAGTCAAGACTGAGAAAGGCACACTTGGAAAGTAGTATGTGATAAGAGACTCATTAAATGTATGAAAATGTTGAAATAATTGCTTCAAAATTTGTATCAGAATATCTTAATTAAATGTTTCCTTGTATCTCTGAATATTATAGTATATGTTGTTTTAAAATGAGAAAGAAAAAGGGAGAGACTTCTGCTTTCAGGAATGAAAGTCTAAATAACTTAGACCATTACTCTCCTTGAAGATAACTAGAAAAACTACACCAAAAACAAAAACAAAAAATTATGGAGTCTGTTTAAAGGCATCAGAGAGCTAACAAGATAGTGAAGAATTGTCAGGCTAGGTTCTGGGAGAAAATAGATATCCAGAGATGTGAATTCAGAACTTGAAGTTGTTTTTATCTTAAGTCATTTGCTGATTCTACCAAAGGTATCCAGAGTCCCATTGCTGAAAATGGCAAGGGACCATGGTAAACCCCCTGCTTTTTTCGTCAAAAACTTAAAGATATGCATCCTACCAGAAAGAATGAACCAGTTTTCTGAAAGACTGCTGCCCAGCTCTGAATCATCTCAATCCTCAAATTAAATTAAGATCAACCCAGATTGCTAGTCCCTACTGGCACCTGAGAAAAACAAATGTAAAACATTTACTAGATTAAAAAAGAGTGTTCTAGGTTTCAAACCATTTACAAAAACGAGTTTTTAAACTTAATTTCCAGCATGTCCAACACACACATACAGAAAAAGAGCCAGGAAAAATGAAACAAAGTAACATAAAAAATAGTCAAGAGAAACAGGCCATTTGGGCTGAAAATATTAGAGTTATAAACATAAAGTATAAAATAATTTTACTGACTGTTATAGGGAGATAAAGTTGAGATTGAAAAATTTAGCTGAGCACTAGAAATTCAAAACAAAATAACACAAAAGAAAAAAGAAAAGAAAGGGCCTCCTGGGTGTCTCAGTCAGTTAAGTGTCTGCCTTTGTCTCAGGTCATGATCTCAGGGTCCTGGGATCGAGCCCTATGTCAGGCTCCCTGCTCAGCAGAGAGTCTGCTTCTCCCTCTCCCTCTGCCCCTCCCCACACACTCATGCTGTCTCTCTTTCTCTCAAATAAATAAATAAATCTCAAAAAAGAAAAAAAAAGAAAAGAAAATCTAGAAGTGAAAGATGCCATAACTGAAATGAAGAATTCAGTGAATAGATTCATGGTTTGACTGCATATTAGATACAGATGAAAGAGAATTTGTGCACTAGAAGTTAGGTAGTAAGAACATATCCAAAATAAAAATAGTAAAGAGAAAAAAAAAAAAGGATGCAAACACTAAAGAAAGGGAACAAATAATAGAGGATAAAATTTATAAAGTCTATCACAGATGTAATTGGAGTCCCAGACAGAAAGGAGAGAGGGAATTGGGCAAAAACAATATTTCAGGAAATTATGCTGAGAAATGTCCTACATTGATGAAGGATATCAGGCCACATGTTCCAAAAGCCCTTTGCACTCCAACAAAATAAATGCACAAGTAGGCCCATCATTGTACAACTGCTGAAAGTCAAAGATAAACAGAACATCTAAAAAGCAATCTTTAAACAAACAGACTGATAGCTGACTTTTAATATATACAATGGAAATAATAAGACAATACAGCAGAATAGCTGCCGACCAAGAATTCTAAACTCAAGGAAAATGTGTGTTTCAAGAATAAGTTAATCAAGGATATTTCTGGCCAAGAAAAAGAAAAGTTCACCAACAGAGAATTTTGGTGTTCTTCAGGTAGGAGGGTATTGATCCCAGATAGAAGGACAAAGATGAAGGAAAAGAATCAAAAGCAAGGTAAATGGTAATTTTTCAGTAAGTCTAAATGAATACTGATGATACCAATTCTTGACAAGAAGCAGGAAACTATGACCTATAAGAGAAGAGAAATCAGTTAATATAAATCAATTCAGAAATGGTACAGAGTGTAATTAATATGAAAGGCCATATTAAAAGTTATAATTTTATTCATATTTTCTGAAAGCTAAAAGAGAGCTTGTCCATGTTAATTAGAGACATTAAAGATATAAAATGACCCAAATTGAATTTCTAGAGGTGAAAAACAGAATGTCTGAGACGAAAATTACACTTGATGGGCATAATGGCAGATTAGTCACTGCAGAAGAAAAGATTGGTGAATTTGAAGATGTAGCGATAGAAACCATCCAAATTGAAACACAGAGACAATAGATTGAAAATAATGAAAAGATCATCAGTGAGCTATGGAAGAACTTTAAAGGTAATTCAAAGTCCAGTATACATAAATTGAAATCTCTGAAAGCAACGCATGGTAAGGCAAAACAGAAAAAATATTTGATGAAAACTGTGAACCCATATATCCAAGAAGTTCTATGACCCTAAAGCACAAGAAACATAAATGAAATTATAACTAAGCACATCATTATCAACTTGCTCAACACCAGTGATAAACAGAAAAATTTCAAAAACAATCAGAGGGAAAAGACAAGGTACATACAGAGGAATAGATATGGAGAGGAAGGAGAAGTCTCACTGGAAACTACAAACTAAAATTACAGGCTCAAACATAGATGACTCTCACAAGCATAACATTAAATTAAAGAAAGTACAGAAGCATATATATTGTACAGTCTCATTTATATCAGGTTTGAAAAGCATAAAAAGATAATGATACTATTTAGAAAGAAATGACTGAGTTGGGATAATGATAAAGAAAATCTAGGTAGTGATTACTCTGAGTTAAGGTGCTGATTAGATTTTGGTGATTAGGGATGAGGTTCTGACTGGCCCATGAGCTGGGCTTCTGGACTGGATGGATATCTAGTTTTTATAACTATAAGGATATATAGTTTCTCTATTTGCTTTTGGTTATTTAACTGAACTCTCTATATTGTTTGTGTACTTTCCTATATTTTGTTGCATTTTTAGAGAATAGTTAAAAGAGGAAGGAAGAAAGGGAGAAAAGGAGGGAGAGAAAAGGAAGGAAGTATCAATGTCAGAGTTTATAAAGCAAAGATTATGGTGGGGAGAAGGGAGAGTTGCACAAAATGCTGATTTCAGTAAAGGTAGTCAAAAACTGAAAATCCTGCTCTGCTATAGATTCTGACAATATAAGTTAGGGTAAAGAATACCTTTGAAAAAAATTGGTGATAATCACAAATAGAATTAAATCACAATAGAATTAAAGGAAGAGATCTTACTCTCTCAATTTCCTGGTATGTTTCATACCACACATGAGTATATTCAATAATGCAAATAAAAAAATAAGTAGCAGTGTAACAAAAGCACAATATATCAAATAAGATAACAGAAACACAGGCAAGTAGTTATGACAGGAAATGTAATTAGGTTAATTTATTAAGTGTAAAAGTCAGATGGGTTGAATTAATTTAAAAAAAAATAGGGGCGCCTAGGTGGCTCAGTCGGTTAAGCATCTGCCTTTAGCTCAGGTCATGATCTCAGGGTCCTGGGATCGAAACCTGCATCAGGCTCCCTGCTCAGCAGGGAGTCTGTTTCTCTCTCTCCCTCTGCCTCTCCCTCCTGGCTTATGTTCTCTCTCTCTTGATTAGTCACTCTGTCTCTCAAATAAATAAAATCTTTTTAAAAAAGAGTAAATTTTTGAAAAATATAAAGTCAGGGGGTGCCTGGGTGGCTCGGTCAGTTAGGCGTCTGCCTTTGGCTCAAGTCATGATCCCAGGTTCCTGGCATCGAGTCCTGCATTGGGCCACCTGCTCAGGGGGAAGCCTGCTTCTCCCTTTCCCTCTGCTGCTCCCCCTGCTTGTGCGCTCTGTCTGCCAAAGAAATAAATCAAATCTTTAAAATAAACAAACAAATAAATAAATAAAAATAAAAAATATAAAGTCAGGAAAGGTATATTTGGGAAATGAGCATCAAGAGAAAACATGAGAAACTACTTAAGGATCTATCCAGTTAGAATTCTAGCAAAAAGTCTCAAGCAAGAAAGAATTGCTCATTTTATATCAATAAAAATTTAAATCCCTGATTTAGTATAATAATGATGGTTTTTTATGTGCCAGATGATACAGTATGAATAAAATCCATTTGGAAATGCAATGGGGAATTCACAGATATATTTTCAGTTGATGACAGAATAAATAGACTAAAAATAATATGGAATCTTTGAAAAAT